TTCAGTTTCCCACCACGAACAAAGTACTTCTCAAGTTTGAGTTTGGAACAGAATGTGTAGCAAATTTAGTTTTCTAAATTTTATCTGCCAGGCTCAGCTTTGTACAACTAGATCTTCAAGATAAAAAACACAAAACACCATTTTTTAGTCTGAAGACCAACTTTTAGAGACCCAACACCAGTAGAAAAATTTTAGGATATTAAATTTCCAGCATTTCATGTTCGAGACTCAAGTCTAATAAATGCTTCCATCATGATAAGAAACGCTTATTATTGTTAATTGATTATTCTAAATTTAGTTATTGCTATCCATAATAACAAGAAGAGAATGAAAAATGTATATCTATTTGTGTAAGGTCGCGTGGTACAATGGTGTAGATAGAAGACTACTGGTTTCTAGATACAGAGTTCGAATCTCTGCACGAGCTGTGTTTCTTTCTTCTTCTTTTTTCACTCGATTTACAACTAATTATAACGCTTTTTATATCTAGCGATTCTTTTCTTTAAACAGTTAGACGAATCGTACGCTTAATCGCTAGATGTACCTAGTTCTTATTGTTTTCTATCAATCATAATTTCTTACTAAACTCATCGGATATTGCATCGTGTAATCGAGTAAAACCCAATGCATCTAGATAACCCGATATTTTTTACTCTTTTATCTAGATACTTTTGCTGGTGTAGCGGGCGCTACCCCAGCAAGTATATCTAGATTTTTTCGCTTACGAATTCATGCTTGGGAAGTAAAAAAAATTTAACAATTGATTTTATTTTTACATAGTAATGATAATATAATGAAAAATAAATATCCATTACCGATAAATGAATGTCGGTATATGTTTGGTTGTTCACTGGAATCTCCGTTAAAATCGGGAGAATGCTTTATTCGCTATGAGATACTTGATGATAAAGGACAACAAACAGGTCGATTTGAATGTGTTCATGGTAAAAAATCTGTTTTAATTTTTCAATAAAACTGAACTTTGTTCTAGCAGAGTATAACATTGTATTTTTAGATTGTACTGTAATTATAACAAAAAATCCTTGTCCATATGCAGGAGATATGATTCAGTTGCGCGCAGTTGATATTCCAGAGTTGCATGACTTGAAAGATGTTGTCGTATTTCCAGTTAATGGTGAAAGACCACATTTTAATGAAATAGCAGGCTCAGACTTGGATGGTGATCAATACTGGGTAAAAAAGAATTATTTGTGTTATAACTTGAGTGATATTATCTAATTTCCATTTTCGTTGTTCACTACAGGTGTACTGGGGATGTGAATTTAAACTGAAAACACAAGTAGCACCATTAGATTACAAGAGTAAACCTAAGTCACCACATCCACATCCAATTACTGCTGACGATGTCATTGATTGTATCCTATCTACGTTCGGCGCAACTAGTTATGTCAGTATCCATCTGAGTATTCTTTTAACTTTAGTTTATTTTACCTCTCTTTGATGTTTTTTAATCTATAATTTACATATGGTTATTGTCGATAGAAATAGAGAAAACAATTGTCAACGTACATGTCAAAAATTATCAATTGAGTGTGCTAATCTCTTTTCAATAGCAATTGATTCGCAAAAAACAGGCAAAATAATTGATCGAAAAGAACTTCAAAAAATAAGACAAAAAATTGGTTATGATTATCCGGATTTCTTAATAAGAGACGGTGGTAAACAAACTTATGAGTCTTCATCACTCTTGGGAAAATTATATCGAAATGGTTTATCCTTTATTGAATTGAAAAATTATTCGTCTAAACAATTACTATCAGTTGAAGGACAAACTTCATCATTAAATACAACATCTCAACAACAACGTCCTCAACATGTTTCAGTAAGTTTCAATACTTGAAAATTTTGAGATATTTATCAGATTGTCTATTTGAAAAAAAGTTGATAAGTTCGTATTCTCGTTCAAGAAAGCACTGAAGGTTTAGTATGATACTTATCTAGAATTTATTTCTATTTAGACATCAAACACTTCAGCGTATTCAAAGTATCGACATCAAGAAGATATTTGTTATAATACACAATTACATAATACTGATACGAAGTATATCAATTCTTCGATGACATCAATGTCGTCATTACTGAACACTAAACTCGTTAAGTCTGATTTGAATTGTTCAATAAGTTCTACACCAAACTCCATGTATGATACAAATTTCTCTTCATCATCATCAATCAGCTCCAATCACAATGAGATGTCCGGTTTGAGTTCACAACCAAAGTATGATGAGAATAATAATAATAATATTACTACAATGAATCTTCTTCCACCATCAATTTATAAAGTAAATATAACATCTTATTTTATCTAAAGAAAATAATTATACTTTCCATATTGATTCGACTAAAAACTGAATAAAGGGCGGGCCCATAAAGAATTTCGCTGTTAATATTTTCAAATTTTCTCTTCTCTCTTACACTTGATTGAGCTAGTTTTTTCACCTAAAGACTCCTCATTGAATTCTCTACAGAAAATGAATTGACTGCTTGTTTTGAATTGACTGAATTGACCGTCCTTTGATTTGTTCCACGGGGCAAAGAAAAAGATACGAACTTTTGCTATTTTCACTTGATTGCTGAGAAGTTAATTTTGAAGAATTTGAATGAGAAGAATTTGAGTTATTCATCTTTTTATGTTTCAGAATGATATCATGAAAGAATCTACTCTCATTTTTGATCAATTAACATCCTCACCACAATCATCATCTGCCGAATTACCATGTTCAAACAATAACTGCAATTTTACACAGATTTTTTTCATTGATGGAATGACATCATTATCTTCGTCAATAAAATATATACGATCGAATAAACCCTCTTTTAGGGAACATGAAAATATGATACGTTTCGATCTACAATTACCATCGAGAAGAATTCAAATAAACCATGAGCAACATTCAGCATTATTCTACAACAAATTACATGATATATTATTAAATGAAAGTGCTAGTGAATATAAACAGAGTATTCATGGTGATGTTGAATTGATAATCTCATTTGGTTATTTCTATTGTTTACACTATCCAAAGCAACAACATACGAACGATTTACCAACAGATTTAGAAACATTAGCAAACGACTATTTTCTACCTTATCTGACAGATACCTATTTACCATCAACAATAGTCCATCCCATAGAACGACCTACTGTTGACATACAGCAAATATTCTATCAAGTTAATCATACAATCAAACGTGAAGTAAGTTAGAGTCTTTATGGTAGACGAGACTATCAAATACTGTTAAGTTCTACTTTTGATCTCCTGTAAGGACGGGGACGATTATTTGATGGAATCGGCCCCTGCTTGAATTTCATCGACACATACATGGTTAGATGCAGAATGAACAGGAGAACATTTCTAGCCACTCGGTAGACCTTAGAAATGCTCTCAGAAAAGATTGGGTCCAATTAACTGTAATCACTTCTGACACGTAATATTGATCAGAGCCTAATTAAAAAATTCCTTCTCCTCATCCAAATCGAGTGCCTCAATAAATAAAAAAACCCGCACCTCTTTATAATGAACAATATTTTAAAAAATCACTTCGAGGTTTGACCGCTAGCACAAAAATCAATTTTGAGAAAAACGCTAACTCTTTCTACACGAGACACGCTAATTAACGCTTTTTGAAAAAACAGATAGACAACAGATAGACAACCCAATGTACTCGGTTGATATCTCGTCGAGCTCATACTTTTTGAAGTAGAATGATCTGTCTTGAGTTAAGGCCGCTTCTCCTCCAGAACTCGATTTTTGCGATAGATATACAGGCATGTCGCTTGAGCTGTCACTTCACAAATATATAAAAATATTATTGAATCTTTTTGTGGACTTTTTCAGAAAATTCTGCAGTTCTCTACGACGATTATTACCTCTTTCTACACGAGACACGCTAATTAAAGCTTTTTGAAAAAACTCAAAGACAATATAGAGATTTGAAGGTCTCAGCAATCGAGAGGAAACAGTTTTGCCTATGTTTTCTTAAGCAAAATTCTTTGCGAAAAATACCTGAAAGATCGATTTTCTAGGAGATTTTTAGAAAACCAGTTTGGATCTTCAGATATGGGGATAGCAATCTATTAGTTCTTTTCCATAGGTATATAGTCCAAAGTGTTCTCTCCAAAAGAGGAACAAAGCGAACTGTTAATTTGTCCTGGTTCAGGTGTGGCATCGGAGTTCCTGAGAGTCCGAGGATCAATATTTCTTTACGTGTGGTAATTCCGAAAACGGATGGAAACATAGATAATCAACCACGCTGAATCTCGTGGCAATGTTTATTTTTCAAATAGGCTCCAAAAAACCTAGTGAAAACCTATTGAGGTGAACTAACCCATTTTCACCTATTTTTGATTAAAATTAAAAAATTCATAACTCAATCAAAGCTCATCCAGATTATGTCAGACTATCAACATGTATTCTATTCTACCTGCTGGGGAGCTCAATAAAAGCGATGCAAACCAACAAAAATACTTTGGATTTTAAAAAAGTTTTCTAGAAATCTTCCGAACTGCGAGAATATTTTTTACTATTCTTAAGTAAAAGATTACATGCAGCAGGTAAAATAGAATACATGTTCCCTTGACTGAAAGTCTAGGGTCATATAAAATAAATGTCGGCGTCGGCGTCCGCATGTGACGGACGTACATACATATAGTGGCCATTGAGTGTGACGGACGTACATACAGATAGCGACCAGTGAGTGTGACGGACGTACATACACATAGCGACCAGTGAGTGTGACGGACGTACATACACATAGTGACCAGTGAGTGTGACGGACGTACATACATATAGTGACCAGTGAGTGTG